CCCGGCTTGGCACCGCCGGGCCCCGGCCCTCAGCCCCCTGCTCGGCACCGCTGGCCCGGCCCCCGGCCCAGCACCGCCGGCCCGGCCCCCAGCCCCTGGCCTGGTCCCCGGCTCGGCACTGCCGGCCCCCGGCTCGGCACCGCCGGCCCCGCATGTCCCGATTTTCCCGGACATGTCCGGGAAAATCCGGACGTATGATAACCCTAGTAAAATAAACTGAACTGAATATCAAATTCAATCATATCACAGTCCCCAAAAACTGTTAACATAATGGTGTTAGGGTTGCGAAGTCCAGCTCTTGAAAGCTAGGAAATGCCAGAACTGGCAATCTGTCTTTCATTACATGATCATCTACTGTCTTTTTCACAGGACCTTTGCGTCATGCAATGCACAGGATGGACGGTGCTCAGGGGATGAGTCGGGGTGTGTAGCAAAGGAGGCTGTTGTCTGTAGGCCTTGCCTCATTCACACTAGAAGTTGAAAGGTGTATAGGAATGAGGCAGTGGATTGTAGGAAGAAAGTCTGGTCTTGTGGCTGAGGCTGTTGAATGGAGAATCGGATTCCATCCTTGTCTTTTCCACTGTCTCTGTGTGATGTTGGTAAAGTCACGACACCACAGTTTTGGCAGGTGGCCACTGTGTGTTCCTCGTTTTGAGGGTGTCCAGCTTGAGACACTTGAGGCTCGATATGCAGAAGTGCTGAGCACTCCCAGCTGCAGCTGAACTCATTGGGGGAAGTGGACGCTCAGCACCTCTGGAAGTAAGGAAGTGCGGCTGAATGAATGAGCAAAGGGCTGGGCGTCAGGTTGCCCTGAGTTCTGGTCTTGGTTCTGCCATTGATTCTCTGTGTGGCCTTGGCAAGTCACTTTGTCTTCCTGGCTCAGTTTCCCAACTGTAAAATTGGCCACACACTGAATAATGAGGCTAGAAAGAAACACTGAACAGGTTCCTGAGCACTGTCCAGCCTGTGCTCGGAACAGGACATGGGGCATGCTAGTGATCACATAACAGAAGCCTGTCTAATAATAATGCAAACACACAAGGGGACTGAATTATGGTGGCCAATTCTATCATTTCCTAACTTTTGAGGGCTGGACTTTGCAACTTAAATACCCTTAATTTAACATTTTTTTAATGTAATAATATACATAGATGCATGGATTGTCTTACACACACTGCTTTAATTCTCAATAGTAGTCATAGGTTTTATTATTTACAGAACACCCTAGATATACAGATAGTTTACAAGCAAGGAGACAAGGCCCGTACTGTAAATATTGAATATTAATTAAATAACTTGAAGTCTAACTCCGGTAGATACAGGGCATGCAATGATTGTTGAAATGCAGGAAGGCACGGCTGCATTGTCAGTGAGAGGAAGGAGTTTGTTGCCTTGTTCTGTATTGCTCCCATTTCTGTGGTATCTGGTTACATTTTCCACAGTTCAGATTGGGCCATTAGCATTACACTTAAGAAGAGCCGATCCCTATGCTCTCCTGAAGCCCTCACCTATAAAGATGAGACGAGGAAGACTGGGCTGGTCAGCTAAGTGCCCAGGGTTTTATGGTTCTGTCAGTGAAAAGCCCAGGAAGGGAGGTGTGGTTTGATCCCTTTCTGAATGTGATCCCAGTACTGAGTGCCCTGTCGTGGGCTCCCTGCAGCAGTGCATGGTGGTCAGCGACGGAGAGAGAGTCTTTCCGGTGACTTTGCAGGAGGTACACCTGGTGGGGCTTCAGCCCGTTCTGGCATGTTGTACTGGGGTCTGATACGCCGTGAGAATGCTGAGGCTGTATCCAATGGTGGCTCCTTCTTGTCTGTAGGGTTCTCCAGAATTTCTTGGCCGGGCCTTTGCTACTCCACAGGTGAAGCTGGTGGATGAACCATACTGCAAACCTGCCCTGCAGTTTTTTGACATTTACAAAGGAGCCAGAGCAGCAGGGGAATTAATTGCTACCTTTGAGCTGATCGAGCTGGATTACAGCGGCTACTTGGAGGTAACTGGCTTGTTGGAGTAGCAGTGTGGTAAGGGGTGCATGGCAGCTCGTTCCAGCTGCTCCTGCTATCTCGACTTGGCAGATTAACACCTGGGGCATGATGCTGGGCTCCCTGCACTAGCCACATCCTCAAGCAGAGAGGAGCACTCCCATCGCGGTTGGGCCCCCAGTACCAATGGGCAGCAGTGAAGGAGGAGGACAAAGCTGGAGATGGGAGAGATGGGTGGGTAGGTGGGTGAGGGGATGTTGTGGGGCAGGAGAGACAAGCGCCTTAATTTCTGTGTGGCCTGGCCATTTCCATCTGTCCAGCCTTCAGTGCCCAAAGACGTGGAGCCCAAGGAGCCAGACTTCCTGGAGGATCCCCGTTCTGGACGCTTCATTATCCCAGAGGGAATCCGGCCCATCCTCAAAGAATTCCGCATAGAGGTGCCGTAGCTTTCAGTAGAGTTCTGAGCAGAGTGTCCTCTGACTGGTACCAATGCCATGACCTTATGGCAGGGGGTTGGGGAAGGGACTGACACAATGCCTGGGACTCAAACATGTCTGTGCTGCCTCCTCACACCAGGGACTGTCGCAGGCCAGAAATGAGTGTGGCTTGGAACTGGGGCGACATCTACCCACCAGCCCTATCACATTTCAGGGTGCAATCCAGGCACCACCTGCACTGCAACCTGAGGTGCCTCACAATGCTTTGCTGCTGTATCTCCCACCCTGGGCCCATCACAAACAGCCAGAGAGCATGCAGGTCATGCCCTGAGTGTCTGCGATAGCAGCAGCCTGCCAGCAACACTCCACCAGCCTTGGTTTCCACTTGCTGGGTGACCCCAACACACTTCCAGTCCTGGACTTTCCCCAAATGTATGTTCTGCACTGTCCAGCCCTCTCCTCGGCAGTCCAGATGTTGGAGGTCCCTTGAACCTTGTAAGGGGTCAGTGTACAACAGTTTGCTTCCTTAACTGCAATTACCAAACAATTTAGTTTAAACACACTACTGGATTAGTTTTGATTAAAGAAGACTAGAACAAGTTTATTTAACTACACGGAGAGAGATTTTAGGTGAGTACAAGTATAAGGCATGGAAGCCAGAAATGTTTACAGAAGACATAAAGATAAAGCACTGTCTAGTAACTAAAATTTAACAAATAGACTTGGTTCAAGGTGAAATCCTTACCACATGTTCCCAGCACGAGGGCTGGCCAAATTCTGAGGTCAGAACCCCTCCCAAAGTCCAAAAGCTGGTTCCTTGATCTTCCCAGGTGAAAGAGAGAGAGAGAGAGAAACCCTACCAGGGGTGTTTTTGCCCCTCCCTTCCATACTCCAGTCACCCTTTGCAATGCATTTTCCTGAGCGTCACTAGATAACGTTCCTTCCAGCTGTGAGGATGGAGACATGGGGGTCTCATGGGGAAAGAGCTTCCATGTTGTTTGTTAAAATGCAGATCGATTTGTTTCTTCCCCGCTTCGCTGCCAAAGACTGGCCATGTGACCGGTGATGGTCAATCAGCTTTGACGACACCTGGCTAGAGGTGTCAGCTTGTCCTTTGTCTTCGAGAAACTTGTTAACCCTTCCCCAGGCTTGTCTGGTGAACGCATGTCAGTCACAACTTTAACTTTACATGTCATGTTGCTATATGTGTTTCACCAGTTTATTATTGACCAGTGAGTTATTAGTTTTCAAATGCTCTCTCACAAGGCGTATTTTGTACAAAGACAATCCCAGTGGTGTGTAGGATGTGTATACAGGAGTGCGTTGGGTCACAAGCCCCCATTACATCCAGCATCTCACATGGAAAGTGCCCCATGCGGTTTGATTAACACCCAATCAGACTGAACAGAGAAACCTGGCTGTGAGACAGCACGTTGGCTCTCACTCATCTGCCCCCAAAGTGCTCTGCTGAGTCTGCCCACCTCCACACCGGCACATTCATCTGCTGTTGATGAAGTTTCTAGTGTTTTCCTCCTGGGAGCATCTGGGTGGGTGAGGAGCAGCCCTCACTCCTCCTGTGTTGGAAAGGGGTCCGAGTGCCAGGGACGTGGGAAGGGTTAGCAATGGGCCGAGGAGCTGGTGGTGATGCTGGTTACCAGTGGGGGTGAGGGACAGTCTGGCAGCTGGACAGGGTGTGGTGAGATGAGCACTGGGATTAGGTGGGTGGATTGGGGGTGATTGTCACTCTTGGGAGTGAGGGATTGGCGGCTGGGAAGGCATGTGTGAAAAGTGCTGAGTGCCTAGAGCAGCTGACGCGCTTGGCTCCTGCTGTTCAGATCCTGTTCTGGGGCCTGCGAGACTTGAAGCGGGTGAACCTGTTTGAGGTAGATCAGCCCCAGGTGATCATCGAATGTGCTGGGAAGAAAGTGGAATCGGAAGTGATCGTGTCATACAAAGAGAACCCCAACTTCAACGAGCTGGTCAAATACATCAACGTGGTAAGCAAGGAGAAGTGCTCACTGCCAGGTCCCGGGCTGCAATGCTGACTCCCCACCCCCGCTAGCTCTGGGGCAGGGGCTTAGCGAGGAGGGGAGAGGCAGAGTTTCCAAGGCCTGTGTTTCTGGAGAATGGGCACATACCTGCAGACTGGGTTCAGCCCCAGCTGCGTTCCCCCGCCGGGGAACTAGGGCCCGTTAAAGACTAGCTGCTGATGGGAAAGAACGCTCCATGGCATGAATCCATTCAGCCAGCATCAGGGACTGCCTGCCGGCAGCATGTGCCAGGGGCTGCCTGCTGGCCAGGCATGGGCAGGGCTGTAGTTCAGAACTGAGGAGCTGGGTCCCAGCACTGACTGGCGCTGTCAGGATCTACCTGCAGAGGGAGCATCAGGGCCGCTGTGCTAGGGGCTCACCTGGGTGCAGCTGGTGGGAGCGCAGCCCTTATCTGCCAGCTGGACACATGGGTGAGCTATAAGCCAGGCTCTGAGCTGTCCGCAGGACCCTCCCCTGCAGCCCTGGTGACAGTGTGAGAGGCTCTTTTGCAGGAGCTCCCGGAGCAGGTGTACCTGCACCCACCCCTAAGTATCTTTGTGGTGGAGCAGCGAGCTTTTGGGCGCACCGTGCTGGTGGGGACCCACGTGGTGTCCCATATCATGAAATTCTCTCCCAGAGAGCTGGAGGAGCTGGAGGAGGGGCCAGAAAATCCGGCCAAAGGTGAGTTTCCTGGTTTGAACTGTGCTACACACCCCCTCACATGGCAGGGTGGCACGGGGCTTTCCACTGCCAAGTGCTGCGTGGGGGATAGGGACTGTCCTGGCATGCAGCACAACTAAGTGCAGCGTTTTCTGCAAGGCTGGCATGTCCCCATTGTCCCTCCCTCGCCGGGGCAGTGCAGCAGAGGTGCGATTAGACACCTCTCGGCTAACCCAGGCAGGGCAAGCTGGGGCGGAATTCAGGTCTGATGGTCTCCAGTGTCTTGCTGTGAGGCTGTGGACTCTCTGTGGTGCTGCATGAAGGGGCTGCTGACTGAATTCCTGCAGGGGTAACTCCTCACCCCCTCAGACAAGGCCATTAACGTGTGGTAGGGCTCAGTGAAGTCCCCTTTGGGGCTAGGGAACATGTGGTGGTGTGAAGCAGAGAGGCTTCCTCCTGTGCTCTCCGGCATCTCCCAGGCACACACACAACATGGAAGCTATTGAAACGAGAGGTATTCAGAAAAATCAGTGCCACACAGCTACTGGGGATGAAGTACAGCATGGGGTGGGGAGTAATGCAGATCCATGGGGGCAGGGTCACACAGGATGACACAGTGCCGTGGGGGTTACACAGGCCCGTGGGAGCAGGGTCACGCACGGTGACATGGTGAGGTGGGGGGTTATGCAGGCACGTTGGGGCAGGGTCACGCAGTGTGACACAGTGCGGTGGGGGGTTATGCAGGCCCGTGGGGGCAGGGTCACGCAGGATGACACGGTGCGGTGGGGGTTACGCAGGCCCGTGGGGGCAGGGTCACGCAGGGTGACACGGTGCAGTGGGGGGTTATGCAGTCCCATGGGGGCAGGGTCACTCATTGTGACACGGTGCGGTGGGGGTTACGCAGGCCCCTGCAGCTTCACGATGACGCCTTTCTGGTGTAAAATTTCAGACTGAAAGTGGTGGGGTAATGTAGGTAACTTGGGGATTGCAGGAATGGCGTCCCTTGCAGTGAGGTGCACCTGAGAGGTACGTCTGTGCCCTTGGCTCAGCGGCCATTTGTAATTGGTAATGAGACCTGGGAAGATTAGACAATGAATGAATGATCTTCTTGTTGGAATACATAGTCTCCATCTTTCTCACTCAGCACGGAAAGCCTCTGCTCGACCCAACATCTCCCAGACTGTGATCAACATTGGCCTGACTGCTAGCGACATGGGCAGCAAAGCAAACCCCCTGAATCTGGTGAAGGTGAGTGCGGTATCATGTTGACAGTAACCTTCACATTATTATTTGAATGGAAATGCTGCTTGCCCAAAGTACCCTCTCTGGCTTTGACTTGGATCCTATCCCTAGGTTGTACCCAAGAATAGTAACAGTTCAGAAGTGACAGTCACCTTCCCTGTTTCAGTGTCGCCTAGCAGATCATATGGCAGCATAATTCACTTTCCGCTATAAGCCTGATTTTGATTGACTGCCCCTCTAATTTCCTCACCCACCCCCTCGTCGTTTCTGCGTGAAATGGCACTTGTCTGCACTCTAGAGAGAGACTACGTGGTGAGGAGATGTTGAGGTTAATCTGATGAGGGGTTTCTGGGATATGAGACGTGGAAAAAATTAGTTGTATTTCACTTTCTGAAAAATTCTTCTAGTGTTTATAAAGTCGTAAATGCCATCTCATTAATGGCTAAGTCTGGAAACTTCTGAGCTGGTCATTCAGTTGCCCTGGATGAGAGTTACCGCAGACAAGCATGGGTGCAACATTTCAGAATCATTTCTGACAGATTTGTATACATCTGAGCACTCAGTCAGGTTCCAGCAGAGTTTCTGAGCTTCCCTGGATGTTATAAGAATTGGCTCGGAAGATGCAGCCTGTGGAAGCTATAAACTCCATCACCATTACCAGTCTGAATCCGGCAGGTCACAGGCTCCCGTAGCTGAACTCGATTTCATCAAGCAGGCTAAATACTCCACTGTGGAGTGTTTTATTTGAAAATGTGATTTTGACTGACTCACATATTTCACTTTCCATCACACCAATAATTCTTGCAGAGTATAGTTTCTGTATCAGAAGAGAATCTACACCATGTTCCTACATGTTAGATTAGAGATGCCAAACCAGCGCTCTCGAGCCAAACCCCTCTACATTCAGGTGCGAGGAGCGGCAGGGGCTTGCAATCTGAACTCAGTCAGATCCCAATCAGAATTGTACAGCTCTGGCCCATATCTAGTTAAGACATAAATAACTTTTCACAAGCTTATCAGTATGTTAAAACAATGCCATTGGAAGGTTTTAATTATAATAAAACAAAAGCTGTTGGAAAACCTAGAAATTCAATCATAGAATCATAGAATATCAGAGTTGGAAGGGACCTCAAGAGGTCATCTAGTCCAACCCCCTGCTCAAAGCAGGACCAATTCCCAGCTAAATCATCCCAGCCAGGGCTTTGTCAAGCCGGGCCTTAAAAACCTCCAAGGAAGAGACTCCACCACTCCCTAGGTAATGCATTCCAGTCGTTTCACCACCCTCCTA